GGATGTACCCATTGAGACTATCAATGAGAGATATCGCATGTATGGTGGTGTAGCTCGTTCTGTCTTTGATATTGTATCAAATCCAATGGAGAAAGCTTTGACTGATGTTGATGCAGTCAAAGGGGTACGAAACATTGGATTCACAATCAAAATATCTGCAACTACTCATACATTGCTTCATACCATTGTGTCGGACGACGGACAGTACAGATTCCTGCATGCTGATATTGCTTCAAGATATGTTGGAGAACAACTCTGGCAACGTCACTCTGCTCAAATGATTACCAATATGCAGCAAATGTTTGATAGTATTCCAACCGAGATTTCAAGACATTTGTTTGAAATATACGGACATGTGGTTTTTTGTACTGGTGGACAAACTCTCAAATGCAGATGCCTGGAAGATGGTAAAGCAACAAAGATCACTTTGGATGCACTCAATGGCCAACGAATTACATTTGGAATAAATACTATCCCTACTGCTGCAGCACTTGATGGCAACTATTACGAACCGACAGATGACGATAGTTTTGCAGCAATTGATTCACTCAGTCGACAGGGAATGTTCCAATTTACAGCTGTTGCTGAACATCCTATTTGTGGAGTTGATATTCTTACAAAACTGTGCAATTTGTATGATGAACCCAAACTTTATTTTGTGGTTCCGCCTCATCGGTTTAAAGGGTTCAAAAAGCAGACTTTTAAACCAATTGATGGCACAGAGCAGATACAACCCATTCATGGATTGAAGCAATACGTTATACAACTCCCACTAATACAACCAGATTTGAAGAGTAGAAAGTGATAGTTGTATTTTACAACTGATATGACATATTTTCAACCATTCCAACCATTCCAATTATTTGATGATTCAATGTTGTTAATACAACTGGCATCATACAATTGTGTCCATTCAAGGGATTGATATGCATTTAGCATGAAAAGTCCAAATTCAAGTTTACTATTGTAACATACGCTTTTTGACAAATAATGGCTCTGTTGACACATCCTTGTACCATCTAATCGTGTCCGATTGAAGCATCAAGTATGAGTTTGGCATACAACTTGCAACTTTAATCAACTTGTATACGGTAAGCATTTTGATAATGTCGGCATTTGTCAGGATATCACACCTGACAACTTTGAATCGAATTTAGCAGTGATTATAGGTGAAAACACCAATCTAGCACAACAACAATTCCAGACAATTCCAGACAATCTGATTCTTATTAGTTCTAAAACCAGAACTCACATTGTAACCACAAACCAAATGCGTTCAATATCAATCACAATCATCATGTACGAATGTATCAAAGTATGTCGTCAACTTTTGAATATTTTAGCAGTCTTGCTTAAAACAAGTGGTATCATCCAGTGCACTACATATACTACTCATGGTCATTGACAACTGATTGTGTAGCAATAGTGTTAGTGTATTGTGAGCAAAGTATTGATGATGGAATAACACACATTTTGGTTATGATACTAGAAACACACAAACTTCAAATAACTGCGCAACTATTTGTTCAAACTCTGCTCCAAATATATGTTGTTGTATACAGCAAACCTGGTAAAGTGTTGTATTTTGTCATGGCTGCATTGTTCCGAGACATAATTCAAGGCTTGTTACAATGGGTTACTGGATTTGATATCCAATAGATTTGATAAAAGTGTTGCAATTGACATTTATGTTTGTGGATAACAATATTTTGGAATCAACTCGTTCAATTTGGAAATCAATTGGATTTCATGCTGATATCAATATCAATGTCAGTTCAACTCAGTTGATTGGAGTAGCACTCGAGTGCTTGCAGTATTGACTTTGGTTCAAACAGTAATACACAGTGACACACTGATTATCATTTCAGTGAAAAATGATACAGAAATGATCATTCCCAAAACAAGGAATCTGAATGACTGAAATACTGCGCTTATTATGCTGATAATCCAATACATGAATTTTGTCCAAATTTTACAGAGCTTTGTGATTTGTATAAATTGTAATAGTAGATAAGATACAGTAAATATAATATAATATAGTATGTTACTGCAACTGTTACTAGTTATCACAAGAAACCAAATCAAAAGTGTAATGAAAGTTGCACAGTAATCCAAAATCAACATACTTGGTCTTTTCAGGAATAGTGAAAAGGTATAATAAAGTAGTTAAAAAGTCAAAATCGTTTAAAAAGTTGTTTATTGATAAAAAATATCTTGGCTTCTATAGTAATTGGTTGTTTGTGGCTTGTAACACAAACAAGTATAATGCTTGATAATAAGCAGTGTAACCAAAAGTAACTATCCAATGGTATCGATTTCTGTGGTTGGCCATGTCAATGTAATGTCATTATGTTAC